AATATTAGGATAAGCAGATATCCACAAATTTAATTGAAAAAAGCCATTTGTTCTTCCTCACAATCTTTAGTACACTCTTGTTGGCTCCATCTGGCATTAACTTACTTGCAAGTAGTGGTGCAGGCTCTTTAGATCTAGTGCCTACCTGTATCCTCCTGAAGATTTTGGAACCAAGAAAATGGTGAAGTGGAGACCTGTCCATTTCTTGGATAGGAATAAACCACACTGCTCTTTTGCATTTGAGAGACTCTATGTGTGAAAAGAGAGTGAGCTTTTTGATGACTGAGCATGGGATTCTGATTTCCCTAAAATTCCATGGGTGGAAGTTGTTCAAAAACAAATGTTTTGGGGCTAATTTCTCTCTAGGTTGCAAAGAGACACACGGGAAACCATTATTTTCTGTGTACCCTTGCAAAGAGCTGTTTTCTTATGCAGAAAAACACAGCTCTCTGCTCAAGTGTTAAGTATAGTGATTTTAAATTTGGTAACAATTTTGCCATAACAACAAAGCCATATGGTCATGATGTCAGCAATGGCATGGTGATCACATGGCATTGTCAATAAACAAAGCCATGTGATAAGAATTAAGATCACATGACTTTGTTTAGTAAAAAAGCATGTGATGACCATGTCAGCAATGAAACTGTGATCACATGACTTTTTGCTCTCCATTCTTTAAAGTGGAACATTCTTATAAATCCATATCTGGGCTGTAAAAGGAAAAAACCCTTGAAGTGAATCCCACCCATGCTACACGGGTTACTTATGTTACCCCTCACTCTAACCAACTCTGGTGTTCTCCTCCTCTCTTTCAGTGTTCTGGGTGGTCCCTCTGCATCATCACATACAATGTCGGGCTATTAGCCCTGAAAAGTATGTGGAGGAGGCAGGGGTGTGACTTCAGCTGGGAGAACCTTAGTGCTTCGCGGGACAAGTTGGACCACTGGAAGGTCCCTGCTGGAGTAATGTACATTGACCTTCTGTGAGGAACAAAACATCTATCTTTACTCTGAGAAGTCTCATTTCTACTGACTTGGGTTGAAGCCAATTTTCAGGATTTTGAAACAGTATATATACCAGGGCTTCAGAACATCTGGGTGGAAAATCTCAGCTGTAAGTTATCAGGTCCCAAGGAGTGGTCCTTGAACCCTCTCTACCTCCTAGAGATCTTCAAAAGAGTAAAAGACCCTATCTGTGGACCTCATGGCTTCTCACCACAATGCCCAGATTTCTTTGTATTTTTCATGAATTCCAGACTTGCAAGCTTTAGCAGAAGCTGCCCTGATGCAATCATGAAGGTTTTCTCTAGTGATTGCTTTTCCCTGTCTTCCCTGTAATTCTCAAAGTTCCATTGAACATATGTGTAAAGGTAATGGCGGTAACTCCTCTGTGGCCAAGGAGGTCTTGGTTTCCTCTTCTTTAGAGCCACTGCATTAAATACCCATGCATCTTACCACTGAGCCATGATTTGCTAAAGCAAGATCCCCTCTTTCATCCATCTCAAGAAAAGCTGAATCTTGAAAGTTTGAAGGTTAAGTGGCAAAAGCTGAGGTAAGCAGGCCCATCAGAACCTTCTGCAGTCAAGAAAGCAGTCAACTAAGCAGTACAGTATGTCACACACATTGTTTGGAGGTTGATCCGACGAGAGGGCTTCCTTGCAGCTCTGGTCCACACACTCCTGAATGTGGTGGTAGAGGGACAAGGCTCAAAGAAACATGGCTGCTAATGGCTTGGAATCAGGTAACTGCCAGGGATAGAGACATAGGCACAGTGAGCCAGGGTCATACAAGGTAAGCAGGCAGAGCATAGTCAGAGTCAGGTGGAGGTCGGTATCCAGAATCCACAAAGCAAGGTCAGAAGCAAACCAGATCAGCAACGGGAGGTCAGTCAGAAAAAAGCAGGAGCACAAGAACACAGGCCACGTGAAAGCTGAGGAACATTCAGAGATTAGAACTTTCTGGAGCCTCCTTTGAATAGGCAGCTTGGCTCATTTCTAGGATTGGGCATGCACACTGGTGCACACGGATGTGCGGATATGCCAGTGCATGTTGTTTACTGGCTCAAGCTTGTCTGTATGCTGGAACATGTGCACAAGCATTAGTTGCACAAGAATGAGCATTAGTTGCACAAGAATGAACATCAGCTGCATTAGTTTCTTGGTACAGTCTACTAACAATACTTATTTTAAGATTTGGGAGAACTTTATATCCTTTGCCAAACAAAAGACAAGAAATCCGCTGAACCCTCCTTGTTAGCGGTCCTGGATTTTCTGCAACTGGAGTAGATCTTGGACTTTCTTTTAACACTAACAAAGTACAAGTTTCAGTATTACTTCCCTCACAGGTGGTGCATTGAATGCTCTCTGTGCAATTCATTTTGGTCCGAATCTAAAGTCGTACACATTTTTGGTTATTCAGAGATTCAGATGAATAACTCAGAATCTCCGAATAACAATAATAAGAACAATAATAACAATAGTAATGAATTTCATTGAAATTTGTTTAGTTTTGTTTATTCATTTTCTAATGAATTCCAAATTCTTGGAATGATTCGAATTCTGTGTGAAGCATAGCTGGTTGTCAGGGAGCAAGTCAGAAAGTCAGCCGTGTCCTTAACAACCGATGACTCATCAACTGTCAGAGGGTTTCCCCGCTGACAGCTGAATGTACACAAATAAAAGAAATTAAAAATTAAGAAAAAAACAGTGTGGGAGTATTCCCCCCCCCCCCCCCCCACATCCTTTCCAGGCTCTTCAGGTCTCGTATGCATTTTCAGGGAAACCCCACACCAATTTTTTTTTTAAATGGCGTGGGGGCCCCCCCTAAAGTCTATACAAGGCCCTTATCCAAGCATTCAGCCCAGCAGGCCAGGAATGGGGGGGGAGGGGTGAGTGCCCCCCCCCCCCAACCTTACCAGGCCACATGTCCTCAACATGGGAGGGGGGGTGCTTTCATGATGATAAGGCCCTCTTCCCCACAACCCTGGCTTAGTGTTTGTGGGGGTCTGCAGGTGGGGGCCTTATCAGAATTTTGAAGCATCTTTAACAAGGAGGCCCCCAGATCCATCCCCCATGTACATACATGCTCAAAGAGTTAATAATAACACAACCGTTTTTAACAAGTTTTTTATAAAAAAAAAAAACCATAAAAATGCTGACCTGAAGTAGAAAAAAAAAAGCCAGCAGATCACTACTGTTCCTGTCTAGGGACACAGCTGTCTGACAGGCGGGGGTTACCTGGTGATGTCTTCCCCCATGTCTACCTCTCATTGGGCAAGTGTCCTTCCCAAATGACAAATGAACATGAAGATGGGGTTACCATTCCCATAATGGCACTCGCCCATTGAGAGGTAGACATGGGGCAGGGTCACCCGATTACGTCACCAGGTAACTGCCACCCCTATTTTTACCTGTCATTCAGCTGTGTCCCTGGACGGGAGCAGTCGTGTTCGGCGCATGGTGTTTTTCTTTTTTTTTGTTCGAGTCAGTGTTTATATGTTTTATTTTTTATAAAGGGCTTGTCAAAAACTTTTGTTCTGTTTTTATTAACTTTTACTTTTTTTGGTGAATGAGTAGGGGTACTATGTACCCTATACTCATTCACACAGGGGGCTCGGGATCTGGGGGCCCCCATGTTAAAGCGGGCTTTCAGATTCCATAAGTCACCCACCATAGACCTCCACAACCACTGGGCTAGGGCTGTGGGGAAGAGGCCCTTCTCCCCATAAACATGGGGACAAGGTGCTTTGGGGGGACTTCCCTGTCCCAAAGCACCCCACCATGTTGAGGGTATGTTGCCTGGTTCAGAAGGAGGGTGCTCCCTCTGTCCATTCCCATTTCCTGACTGCAAGCTCAAATAACAGTCTGGTATGGATTTTGGGGGGGGACCCCAAGCATTTTTTTTTATAATTTTAGTGTGGGGTTCCCATTAAAATCCATGCCAGACTCCAAGGGGTTTATTTACTAAAGCTGGAGAGTCTAAAATCAGACTCCCTTCTGCATAGAAACCAATCAGCTTCTAACCTCAGCTTGTTCAATGAAGCTTTGGCAATGAAACCTGGAAGCTGATTGGTTTCTATGCAGAAGTGAGTCTGATTTTGCACTCTCCAGCTTTAGTAAATAAACCCCCAAGGGTCTGGTATGGATGGAGGGGGGGGACCCCCACGCTGTCTTTTTTTATGAATTTTTAATATCTCTTTTGCTTATATTCAGCTGTCAGCGGGAAAACCGGCTGACAGCTGATGAGTCATTGGTTGTTAAGGACATGGCAGAGGCTTTCTGGCCTGCTCCTTAACAACCAGCTATATTTCACACAGAATTTGGATCAGTCGATAAATTTTCAATGGATCTGAATTCGAATTGCTTTGAAAATTTGGAATTCGTTAGAAAATGAATAAATGAAACTAAACGAATTTCAAAACAAATCAACTAAATTAAATTAGTAACACAATGAATCTATCCAAAACGAAACAAAACTATTTTTTTCGTTCTGCATGTCTAATGCTCTCATATTCCAATTTCTGAAAGCTCTTTTGAAATTACATCCTCATAAGAAAGTGAATTCAGCAAAGTAGAATTTCCCTCTGATCCTTCAAGCCATGACAGAGAATTTTTTTGAACCACTGGCTTTCATATACCGTACTTGTGGTAGTGGCAACTATAGGAACAATAAATAGGGGGGCACATAAGATACTGCAGTGAAAACGGGGGGGCACTAATAATTTTCACCACTAAATCATACCACTGAAAAAAATTACATAAGTATATATCAATATGATTACAAAATACGAATGTAATGAGGAATGCAATTATACCTTTTTATTGTACTAACCTAACACCTAAAAGACAAGTTTTCAAGAGTTTTCCTTTCTTCCTCAAGTATTGCTTCAGACCTGAGAAAGCGAGGAAAATTCTCAGTCTGCAGACATACTACAGGAGAGGATCAGAGACTGCAGACATAACACAGGAGATGGTCAGAGGCTGCAGAAATACTACAGGAGAGGGTTAGAGACTGCAAAAATACTACAGGAGAGGATCAGAGACTGCAGACATACTACAAGAGATAGCCAGAGACTGCAGACATAGTACAGGAGAGGATCAGAGACTGTAGAAATACTACAGGAGGTGGTCAGAGACTGTAGAAGTACTACAGGAGATGGTTACAGACTGCAGACATTCTACAGGGGATTATCAGAGACTAGAGAAATACTACAGAAGAGGATCAGAGACCGCAGACAAACTACACTTGATGATCAGAGACTGCAAACATAGTACAGGAGATGGTCAGAGACTGCAGACATTACTGGAGAGGATCGGAGACTGCAGACATAAAACTGGAGATGGTCAGAGACTGCAGACATAGTACAGAAGACGGTCAGAGACCCAGACATACTACAGGTAATGGTCAGAGACTGCAGACATACTACAGAAGATGATCAGAGCCTGCAGAAATATTACAGGAAATTATTAGAGACTTCAGACATACTACAGGAAGTCATCAAAGACTGGAAATACTACAGGAGATGGTCAGAGACTGCAGACATACTACAGGAGAGGATCAGAGACTGCAGAAATACTACAGTAGATGGTTAGAGACTGCAGACATATTACAGGAGATGATCAGACACTGCAGACGTATTGCTGGCAACAGCTGCAATTCATACAATTTACTTTCCATCCCTCTTCTTTCCAAGAACAGACTCCCCTTCTCCTGTGCCCTTTGGAATGCCTGCTGCCTATAACAAACTCACCTATCTCCATGACCTCTTTATAGCTAACGCATTTAGTCTACTCACCTTTACTGAAACCTGCTTTCATGAATCTGACACTGTTTCCCCTGCTGCCCTCCCCCATACCCAGTGGATGGAAAGGAGGGGGAGTGGGAATCCTTCTAGCCCAAAATAGCACCTATCAGGTACTTCACCCACCTCCCTCTTTGTCAGTCTCCTCATTTGAGGCACATTGCATTCGTCTTTTTTCCCCAGTTTCTCTAAGATACAGTAGCTGTGATCTATGGGCCCCCTGGATTGGTGTAAGCCTTCCTTGATGACTTCTCTGCCTGGCTACCCTACTTTCTCCCTTCTGAAATCCCCACAATCATTCTTGGTGATTTCGACATCCTTGTTAACACTAGCACTGCTACTTCCAAATTTCTCAGTCTAACCTCCTCCTTTGACCTGAAGCAATGGATACATGCTTCTACTCACTCTGATGGCAACACCCTTGTCCTTGTTTTCTCCCACCTATGCACTCTGTGCAACCTCTCCAATAATCCTTTCCCTCTCTCTCATCACCTCCTTATTAGTTTCACTCTTTTACCTCCTCTCCCTCCAACCGCCTAATAATTACCCATTAAAACTCTTCTTTTCTCTACTCTGCTACTGACCACCTCTATGACAAAATCTCATCCCTGTCCTGCCCCTATCTAGCCACTTATGTCTACAACACATCACTGTCATCCTCACTGGACACACTGGCCCCACTCACTACACACAGAATCAGGCCCCGACCCCTGCAACCTTGGCAAGCAGATGACACCAGAAATCTGAAAAACATAGCCGCGCTCTTGAGTGCCTATGGCGTAAGACCAAGTCCAATCAATATAAATCTCCTCTCCAAGAATACAATTCCTGCCTCTTCTCTGCCAAGCAGACCTATTTTATCACTCTTAATAACAACTTATCATCCCGTCCCCGACAACTCTTCTCTATATTTAATTCTCTACATCGTCCTCCACTGCCTCCACTTACTAACTCACTCACTGCCCAGGAGATTGCCAATCACTTCAGACATAAGATTGATACAATTTGTCAGGAGATATCTGCTGTACAGATACCTTCTCCACTTAACACTCCATGTCCACAGGTACAATCATTACTTCTCTCATTCAACCCCACCACTATAGACGAGGTTGCTAAACTTTTTTCTAACGTCCATCTAACCACCTGCCCCCTGGACCCTGTTCCACCACAAATGCTACGTTCACCCTCTGGCTCTATCCTACACTTTCTAACTCACATCTTCAATCTCTCCCTCTCCTCTGGCCTCTTCCCCAACTCTCATGCACTTGTCACCCCCATACTTAAAAAGCCCTCCCCTTTTTATCTAAACTCCTTGAACGTCTGTCTATAATTGAGCGACCACCTCATCGAGAATAACCTTCTTGATCCCCTTCAGTCTGGATTTTACCCTCAACACTGAACAGAGACTGCTCTCCTAAAACTTCACAAACGATCTGTTAACAGCTTCAGTAAGTCCAATGGTCACTATTCTGTACTCCTAATCCTGGACCTCTCTGCTGCCTTTGACACAGTTGACCACTCCCTTCTTCTCAAAAAACTCCATGCCTTTGGTCTCAATGACATTACTCTTTGCTGGTTCTCATGTTACTTATCCAACCGCATCTTTAGCATTATCTACAATTCTACTTCCTCCTCTCCTTTTCCTTTCTCTGTCGGGGTCCCCCAAGGTTCTGTTCTTAGATCTCTCCTATTCTCAATCTACACCGCCTCCCTGGGTCAGCTGATAGCTTCCCATGACTTCCAATACCACCTCTAAACTGGCAACATCCAAATTTATCTCTCTACCCCTCAGCCCACTTCTTCAGTCCCCTCATGTATCACTAATTTACTAACAGACTTATCAGGCTGGATATCACACCACTTCCTGAAACTCAATCTATCCAAAACTAAACTCATTATTTTTCCTCCCCCACATGCCTCTTCTCCTGATTCCTCTGTCAAGATCAATGGCACAACTATCTGCCCATCACCGCATGCCAAGATTATAGGCGTAATCCTAGACTCTGATCTATCCTTTCAGCCCCATGTCCAATCACTGTCCAAATCCTGCCACCTGTACCGCCGCAACATCTCCAAAATACACCTCTTCCTAACAAAGGACACTACAAAGCTCCTAGTTCATTCCCTATCATCTCTCGCCTCAACTACTGCAACTTTATCCTCATGGGATTACCTTTATATAGGCTATCCCCCCTTCAGTCCATCATGAATGCTGCTACCAGGCTCATCCACCTTACCAACAATTCAGTTTCTGCTACTCCTCTCTGCCAATCCCTTCACTGGCTACCACTCACCTTACAAATTAAATTCAAAATACTAACAACTTACAAAGCCATCTACAACTTAGCCCCCAGCTACATCAGTAACCTAATCTCCAAATGCCGACCTAATCGTTCTCTTCATTTCTCCCAAAACCTCCTGCTCTCTAGATCCCTCATCACTTCCTGCCGTGCTCACCTCCAGGATTTTTCCCGTGCCTTTCCTATCCTATGGAACTCCCTACCCCAATCTGTCTGACAATATCTTACTCTGTTTGCTTTTTCGATGATCCCTGAAAACCCTCCTCTTCAGAGAAACCTATTCTGCCCCCACAAGTATTAAAGTCAAAGGAGGAACCACAGAACCACGTCCTTAGATTTGCATACACAGAAAAAAAAGTATCACTCCTTCAGGTTTTATAGGCGCACGGTCTTACAATACTACACAAATTTAAAGATAGAACAACTGGAGTTTTTATTACACATATAAGATTAAATTACAACACAATTTCCTTTAAAAACAATCTTAAAAAATTACTTCAGTAGGTCTCACAGATAATAGTTACAGACACAACATTTTATTTATATATATATATATATATATATATATATATATATATATATATATATATATATATATATATATATATATATATATATATATATATACATACATACATACATACAGTGAAGGAGATAAGTATTTGATCCTCTGCTGATTTTGAATGTTTGGCCACTCACAAAGAAATGATCAGTCTAAAAATTGAATGGTAAGTGTGTTGTAACACTTAGAGACAGAATAACAACAAAAAATTCAAAAGAAATGCATGTCTAACAAATTATGCACTGATTTGCATGTTCATGAGGGAAATAAGTATTTGATCCCCTTCACAAAACATGACTTAGTACTTGGTGTCAAATCCCTTGTTGGCAATCACAGAGGTCAGACGTTTCCTGTAGTTGGCCACCAGGTTTGCACACATCTAAGGAGGGATTTTAGTCCACTCCTCTTGGCAGATCCTCTCCAAGTCATTAAGGTTTGGTGGCTGACGTTTGGTAACTCGAACTGTCAGCTCTCTCCACAGATTTTCAATCAGATTAAGGTCTGGAGACTGGCTAGGCCACTCCAGGACCTTAATGTGCTTTTTCTTGAGCCACTCCTTTGTTGCCTTGGCCGTGTGTTTTGGGTCATTGTCATGCTGGAACACCACCCATCCTTGACCCATTTTTAATGCCCTTGCTGAGGGAAGAAGGTTCTCACCCAAGATTTGACGGTACATTGCCCCGTCCATCATCCCTTTGATGCTGTGCTTTGTCCTGTCTCCTTAGCAGAAAAACACCCCCAAAGCAGAATGTTTCCACCGCCATGTTTGATAGTTGGGATGGTGTTCTTGGGGTCAAAGGCAGCATTCCTCCTCCTCCAAACATGGAGAGTTGAGTTGATGCCAAAGAGCTCAATTTTGGTCTCATCTGACCACAGCACTTTCAACTAGTCCTCCTCTGCATCATTCAGATGTTCAGTGGCAAACTTCAGAAGGGCCTGGACATGTGCTTTCTTGAGCAGAGGAACCTTGCGGGCACTGCAAGATTTCAATCCTTGTCAGCAAAGCGTGTTACCAATTGTTTTCTTGGTGACTGTGGTCCTAGCTGCCTGGAGATCATTGACAAGATCCTCACGTGTAGTTCTGGGATGATTCCTCACTGCTCTCATGATCATTAACACACCACAAGGTGAGATCTTGCATAGTGCACCAGACCTAGGGAGACTGATAGTTATTTTGTGTTTTTTCCATTTGCGAATGATTGCACCAACTGTTGTCACCTGCTTGGCAATAGTTTGGTAGCCCAGTCCAGCCTTGTGTAGGTCTACAATCATGTCCCTGACATCCTTGGACAGTTCTTTGGTCTTTGCCATGGTGGAGAGTTTAGAATCTGATTGCTCCTGTGGACAGGTGTCTTTTATACAGGTAGCAAAACGAGATTAGCAGCACTCCCTTTAAGAGACTGCTTCTAATCTCAGCTTGTTACCTGTATGAAAGACACCTGGTAGCCAGAAATCCTGCTGAATGATAGGGGATCAAATACTTATTTCCCTCATTAAATATTCAAAATCAGCAGGGGATCAAATACTTATTTCCTTCACTATATATATATATATATATATATATATATATATATATATATATATATATTGTGACGAATCCCCTCTTCTGCCCGCCCCCACCTGACATGTCAACTGGAGTTTTATTTCCTCCATCAGCTCATCCCCCACAGCTATTACCTTTTGTGTCACTTGACCATCCCATTTAGATTGTAAGCTCTAACAAACGGTGCTCTGATTCCTCCTGTATTGAACTGTATTATAATAGAAATCGCTATTTGTGTGAAAATTCATTTGGGCACAGCGTTGCATGACTGCGTAATTGCCAGTTAAAATAGCACAGTGCTGAATAGCAAACAATGCCCTGGTCATGAGAGGGATAAAACCTTCCAGAGGTCAAGCAGCTAATCTCTGCGGATCAAGGCAGCTCACTGAATATGAAGTGAAGGATCCTTCAGCTGTTGTTTTAGAATGTATACGTTGTAGCTGTATTCTAGATTCCTTTACAAACAAGACTGAACTCGGCGTTTCACCACCTGCAGACAGCCAGTACCAGCACGTGCTTACTATTATGCAATCTCCTGTACAGTACTGACTTTCAGTGCGTGGGCGCTCTGGCCCGCCCCCTCTCCGGCTCTATGGTAGGTGTGAAGGGGGCGGCTCGGAACGCATGCGCACTGCGCAGTGAAGCCCTGTGACTGGCTCGGTTGCCAAAATGTGGCGGATTCCGGGGCTCCTAGGAAGGGGTGAGTATGACAGTGCCGACCGGGAGGACATGTCAGTGTTTAGGGGGCTGGGCGGGTCTTAGTTTAGCCTGGTGGTAGAGGGGGTCATTCTTGTGCTGACTTTCCCTTGTCACACACTTTTATAGTGACGGTACCTGGCTCCCATAGCCTGTATTCGGAATCTCAATACAACCTCTGTCAGGGCTTACAGCCGGCAGCTCAGTCCAAGAGAAGTGCCACCAAGTCCAGATGGTTAGCCAGTCATTGGGCAAAGAGATGGGGGTTTTTTTTTGTAGCATATAGGAAAACTTTATTGAGACTAACAGGCTGTCATTGTTTTTTTTTGTTGGAACAAAGTTTTCTTCATAAATGTGCCCCTGACACGCTGCCATCCATGGGTACGTAGTTCAGTCCTGGGACATTTTTGGCAACCAATACTTTTTGCAATGTTTTTAAACGCTCCAAAGATCGCGTCCCATCATTTTATTTGGACACGCAGTAATAAAGATTATTGTACCCATCATGACTAACCCTTTCGCCGACAGCCGGTTTTGTGGTTATTTGCACATGTTTCTAAAACTCATTTTGTGCTTGATGATTATGCCCAACCCTCCACACATTATACATTTTATGAAATCGGGCACCCTGGAGAATAAAATAGCGGTTGTTCCATTTTTTATGTCACAAAACTTCCAACGGTTTACAAAGCACAAGATTTCAATTAAATAAATAAATATAATGGCGCCTATGGAAAGAGAGAGAAAATATATATATGGGTCACTAATTGATATACCAGCTGCAAAATCCACCATAAATAAAGTGTAACAAATAACAAAAAAAATATAATTTGCGCTAGTAGATAAATATTAAAATATACCTGAAAATATACCCGCTCCGTGAGGACGTCCATGACGAAACGCGTAGGGTGGGGCTTGATGTGACGTCATTACGTTTCCCAGCGATCTACTGCGCATGTGCCAAGTGGCTGGGTTCGTTTTTCACTGTGATTCCTGTATGCTGTTAACGCTGGTGTCGGCTGGGACACCTTTTGAGATAAGTGCAATGAGTGCATAATAAAGGAAGCTGTTTTTTTAATAATACTGCACCATGAAGTTCTTTTATTTCTTCCGAGTGTCTGGCATTTCCCCTCTTGGATACAATTAGGGTGATCTTTTTGGAGAAGTGGATTTCCTTAGTGGTATTTGATTCTAGAGCATTCGCTCCATTGAAATTGGTCTGCTTGGATCTGGGTTCTGCAGAATATTACTCCCTGAAGACACATCCATGAATGGTCTATTACTCTACTAATACCACTGCTCCCAGAGCAAGCAATATATGCTTCAGTTTTTTATAGCTCTGGTGAGTTTATTTAGTACTTTTGGTGGTGGATTGTCACATTTATATTTTTCGTGCACGTTTTTGGATCTGTATTTACACATCTCAAATTTGGACTGTTTTTTTGGACACTTTTTTTATATATAAAAAAATTCTTTATATGTATTTATAAGTATTATTTACATGGATAATATTTTATATTTTTTTGTTCACCGGTATATTTTAATATTTATCTACTAGCGCAAATTATATTTTTTGTGTTACAAGATTTCAATTAACCACTTGCCCTCCTGAGGATTTACCCCCTTTCCTGACCAAGCTATTTTTTTGCGTTACTTTAACTGACAATTGCGCGGTCATGCAACGCTGCACCCAAATTAAATTTATGTCCTTTTTCCTACAAATAGAGATTTCTTTCCGTGGTATTTGATCGCCTTTGCGTTTTTTATTTTTTGCACTATAAACAAAAAAAGTCTGACAATTTAGAAAAAAACAAACAATATTTTTTTGCTATAAAACATATCCAGTAAAAAAAAAAATCAAATTTCATCATACATTTAGATCAAAATGTATTCTGCTACATGTCTTTGCAAAAAAAAAAAAAATCCCAATACGTGTAAATTGGTTTACGTGAAAGTTACAGCGTCTGCAAATGGCAATATGTATAGTGGAATTTTTATTTTTTTATACTAGTAGTGGTGATCAGCGACGTATAGCAGGACTGCAGCAGCCATTCTGACACTGGGGGGAACTGACGAACTGTCACTGACATCCCCAGTGACACCAATACAGTGATCAGTGCTAATAAAAAGCACTGACACTGTACTAATGACACTGGGCAGGAAGGGGTTAACATCTGAGATGATCAAAGGGTTAACTGTTTGCTGTGCTGTTTTACTAGGGAAACATGCTACTGTGCATTTCTCTGCTGTGCAGAGAAGTACACAGCAGCATTTCCTTGCTGGCAAGAGAGAGACCTGTCACTGTTCCTTGGTGATTGCCCGGTGCGGGCGGGGAATCTCCGGCTGGGACTTGGTGATCGATATCTGTAGCTGCCAATGGCGGCACGGTTAGGGCAGCATGCGTGCCCCCTAACTGAAAATGCAAAATCATGCATATTTATTTATTTCAGGTACTTATATAGCGCTGTCAATTTAAGCAGTGCTTTACATATATATTATACATTCACATCAGTCCCTAACCCTCAAGGGGCATACAATCTAAGGTCCCTAACTCACATTCATACATACACATACTAGGGACAATTTAGACAGGAGCCAATTAACCTACCAGCATGTCTTTGGAGTGTGGGAGGAACCCGGAGTACCTGAAGGAAACCCATGCAGGCACAGGGAGAACATGCAAACTCCAGGCAGGTGGTGCTGTGATTGGGATATACGTGATTTTGCACAGCCCTGCCGTGCTGTAGCAGTAGTTCTGCTATAGGGCGGTGGGTAAGCAGGTAACATAATCTAAAGTTAATTTTTGGACAAATAAACTCAATAGATTATAAGATATCTTCCTGCGCCTAGTGAGACACTCTACTACAGGTACTATCCTGCTGCTGTGCAATGTGAACAACACAAATATATGAAAAAATAAAACAGCGCAAAACATAGACCTCTACATAAAATCAAAAAAGTGCAAAAAAAATTATGTAAAACAAAATACAATTTAAATGGTGCAGTCCATCAAATTCTTATATATTTAATAGTGAAATCCATCAAAATAAACAAAAGTTCAAAAATATATATTGCAAAAAAAGGAAAAAAGAAAGAGAAATCTTTTCACATTCTTCTTGTAAAGAAACTTCCACCTTCCACCCGTGAAAACCAATATCAAATGCACTCACCAGATATAGGTGAATAAAACGCCTTTTAGGAATTTTATGGGATCCTACACCCTCTTTCGTATCCACTCTATAGGAATCCTCTCCTCCAACATGGGCTCCACCATCCGACCAGGGAGAAAAAAATCTCAAATAGTGTGATATTGTAAGACACCATTTCATATGTGAAATCAAGGATTAAGGCCACTCACATTAATTTCACTTTAAAAAGGCATATTTATTAAGGCAAGCTTCTCTCCAGATAACAGTAGATGCAAGGTAACCTCTCACAGAATCTCACATCACAGTCCCAGGTTCCAGCAGAAGCTCCACAGAGACCACACATATATAAATCCCACAAAGATGGCCGCTGGAACGCACCGCTCAGCGTGCGCTCCACTCACCGGAAGTGACGTCGGACATGCAAAATATAAAACCGGAAATGCGTCAACGCGTTTCGCCCTCCCACAGGGCGTTCTCAAGACAGGTCTTGAGAACGCCCTGTGGGAGGGGCGAAACGCGTTGACGCATTTCCGGTTTTATTTTGCATGTCCGACGTCACTTCCGGTGAGTGGAGCGCACGCTGAGCGGTGCGTTCCAGCGGCCATTTTTGTGGGATTTATATATGTGTGGTCTCTGTGGAGCTTCTGCTGGAACCTGGGACTGTGATGTGAGATTCTGTGAGAGGTTACCTTGCATCTACTGTTCATCTGGAGAGAAGCTTGCCTTAATAAATATGCCTTTTTAAAGTGAAATTAATGTGAGAGACTGTGGCCTTAATCCTTGATTTTCACATATGAAATGGTGTCTTACAATATCACACTATTTGAGATTTTTTTCTCCCTGGTCGGATGGTGGAGCCCATGTTGGAGGAGAGGATTCCTATAGAGTGGATACGAAAGAGGGTGTAGGATCCCATAAAATTCCTAAAAGGCGTTTTATTCACCTATATCTGGTGAGTGCATTTGATATTGGTTTTCACGGGTGGAAGGTGGAAGTTTCTTTACAAGAAGAATGTGAAAAGATTTCTTTCTTTTTTCCTTTTTTTGCACATATATTTTTGAACTTTTGTTTATTTTGATGGATTTCACTATTTATATAAGAATTTGATGGACTGCACCATTTAAATTGTATTTTGTTTTACATAATTTTTTTTGCACTTTTTTGATTTTATGTAGAGGTCTATGTTTTGCGCTGTTTTTATTTTTTCAAACTCAATAGATTACCCATTTTTATTTTTAAAACGTTAGTAGGGCAGAGAGGGAACACACACCACTACGCATACATGATCCCGCTGCAGCCATCTTGGGTTCTGGAACATGAGTTGTTTATATGATGTAAAGGGCCTGGTTGTCATCTTTTCATTTACCACATTGTTTTAATCGGGATTACACTATGGAGAGCCTCTCTTTTTCTTTTTCATGATCCTATGTCCATATGCGTATATATGCACAGGGATCTGACATGTGGTTTTAGCCTCTTCCCTACTGCGCTATAGCCAAAGACGGTTTTCTAGTTCTGGGACGACGTCCATAGACATCATCTGAGAACACTCCTCCTGTGCGCCCCGACGTTGCCGTTGATCGCTGTGTCCTACGGACACAGCTGATCACGTGATATGGTAAACGGCCAATCACAGCAACCTTCTACCACTTGATGAGCTGTGTCCAATGTCCTGACCCGGCAGCACCCCCCTCCCCATGTTGAGGGCATGTGGGCCTGGTATGGTTCAGGAGGGAGGGGGGTGCTCGCTCACTCGCCCCCTCCTTTTCCTGACCTGCTGGGCTGCTTGCTCGGATGAGGGTCTGGTATGGATTTTGTAGGGGACACCCACGCTATTTTTTTTTTTTTTTTTTCT